CGCCTTTTGGCCCGCCTCGTAATTAATTACAAACGCAGTCGCGCTCCCCCCGTCTCCTACCCTCTTTTTTTGACCGGCAAAACTCCTGAGGAAAAATCAGATTCAACAATCCAACGATCCTGCCTATTTACGCGCCCAAATCTTGATTCTTTGGACTAGCTTTCTGACTGGCTTGCGTGCTTCGTTGTCGCCGGCTTGCCTCTGAATCGACGACATCTGATTGCCTTTTTAGCTGGTAAGTAGCCAGGCTTCCACCATCGACATCTAAACAAGTATATTAATGGTTGCGGCTGGGCAAGGGGACCAATTCTCGGTTGGTTATGGCCTCTAATGGCCTTAAATTGGGGCGAAAATTAAGGCTTCTCTTATATAAACGTGAATGGCGGGGAAATTGGACCGCGCTCAAATTTATAACGGCCATATAGAAGAGAACCATTATAATTTATTAATAAATTCCTAGTATATTTGTAAAACATAATTATTTTATTAGTGCACTTTTAGAATCAAATATTTCCTTTATATTTATATATTTTCAAGCAAATCAAACGTTATCGAATGAGATCATTCTGCAGGGGAAACATTTAAAGATTCCTTAAATATTTTGTAGTAGTTTTGGCCAAAAACCATTTGCAGATATACCCTGTTTTGGAACTCGGAGGAAACCGGGTTTTTTAACGGAACCATCGAATTTTCGAGAAGTCTTTGAAATGTCATCGAAAAATAAACAGCATAATAGGAATTTTATTTTCGTTTTTTTTATTTGTTAGTTCAAGATTATTGAAATAATTGGGGTTTCAGAAAAGTATCCTTTTATGTAGTTGAAATAATAGAACAACCTTCTAAAACTTCCCTTATGCATCTCCTTTGACTTCAGGGAATTCTTATTCAGTTACTTTTTAACGTAAGAAACAAAAGACTTTAACAGGCGGAGCCCACGCGTTGAAACTCCTGACTCCTGGAGAACGACACGTGCATAAAACAAATCAATTAGCGCTGCCACATTCAAAGGTTAAAAGTCGCGCACACATGTTTCTGCAAATCTGGGAAAATATGTGTGGGGGTTTGCTGTTTGCTTAAGGTCAACCGGCAATCGGCAGCCGCAAATTTCCTGCAACAAGTTAAAATTGCCTGGCTAATTAAACACTGCGACTTAACGGTTCCAGCTAAAAAGCTCCGAGCAAAATTGTGCGGTTAAAATGGAGTCGCAGCTGACATTTGGAATTGAACCCCGAATGAGCAACAGGAAGCAACAGGACCCCACGAAATACCAAAGTTCAACCGGATAACAAGGGACGCTGCCATAGTTTCCCCTCTCTTTTTCATAAACAGAACGCAGGACGATTCATGAATGAATTTCGAGTTGAGCACAGACGTCACGGGAGCTTTTTTCATTGACAAGCTCAATTCATTTTCCACTCATTCATATCAATTCCGAATATGACCAGGAACTTTTCGTCTGCCATTGGCCGACAGCAAGGAGCAACAGGACCAGCAACAGGCCATCCCACACACGTGGCAGGCATTTGGGCAAAAGGGCAAAGCATCAGCCTCCTGTAACTATGCTCCGGAGTCAACTGGAAAGTTCGAGTTCTAGCTTCCCCCTGCACAGTGGGTCAAAATATGGCCGCCCTTTACAAAAACATTTTATTTTAAGTGAAGTTTGGTTTTGATTTCATTCGATAGACATCATATTTAGATATTTCTTGGAAACATTAATGAGAACGGATAGTTTTTGAATCATGAAAAGTAAAATTTTTTGTTGGGTTTTATTAAAATTGAATCTTTAAAAATATTTCCAAAAAAATTACAAATTTAAAATAAAATAATTTAAAAAAACACTATACATTTTAAATAACATCAATAATTTGAAATCAAATTCAGATTTTTTTGGCGTAGCAAATTTTATTTTCTAAATTTTCTACCCAAGATATGAAATTTAATACATGCTATCTTCTATGTCTTGTTTTAGTTCAGTATAAAATAAATTTACAAATTGTCGGAATAAAATGTATTATATTTTATATTGAAGCTATTAACCCACTGTTGGCTTCTCCATTTAGCTAGGCTGCTGCCCTCCCACCCCTCAACTTATCCTCGTCTCCTAGTGAATGGAATCTGACAATGTGGGCGTTTAATCGCATCTATTAGCATCCTAGTCGAGCATTTTCTTACACGCCCACGCCAGAAATTATTTCCACTAGAAAATTGAAGTACAAGTGGAGCATATTGGCGAGATAAAGGCAGGCAATCAACAGGTCCGGCTTGGATAACCTTAATGTGCTAAGCCCTCCAGCCGCCGAAAGTGTCCCTCCTGTTTTTCCACCTGCCAGTCGTTGTCCTTTCATTATTATTATTATTGCTCTTTTGTTTCTTCTAGAGTGGTGGAGTGGGAAGTAAGCTCTGTATTTTCGTAGCTGCTCTTTTGATTGATGCTCGCAACCTCTAACCTTTAAATGTCATCGCAGGGACGAAGCTCCCACTGTGCAACTCTAATTGCCATTTTGCGATGCTCTGCCACTGTTGAGTAAACGGGGGCGTTTTAGCATTTTGCATGTTGTCTGTTTTTTTGGCTTTCCGAAGTTTTCGGTGTTTTGGCCCTTCGAGTGTTTGGATTTCATGGAACTCCGCAACTTTTTTGGCCAAATGTCAGTTGATAAGTGATAGGTTGCTAGCGGAGGTTTTCCTCTCGGTAAACAAGTGAACTTCAATAAGTTAAAGCGCCATCTGATAAGTTCACATGCTTCACATTTATTTCCAGGAATGAAAACGATTCGAAGGTGGATTTAAATCAGGCTTTTAAAATTGGATAATGAGTTGTCCATCTATTTTTTTTATTTTTTAATTTCAAAGGTCAATAAAGGCCAGCCTAATTTTCAATTTAATCCAACTATTCTAATTATTTATTATATATGGGCAATTCTCTGCTGTTGCACGCGACGTTCGTACGCTTTGCAGGTGAAAAATACTATCTTCCAGTACTTCTTTTCCTTAGCACTAAAATATGTGCTAGGGGTGACATTGGGACATTTTTCATTTTTAAGATATATAAAAAAAACCAAGACTTTTGCACGCGACACGAATAGAAGTTACTTTTTTGACTTCCTGCCTAACTTTCGATTGTAACGAAACGTGAAGGAATATTTTAATGCAGTTAATTTCATAGTGTTCCTTGGTCTTTCTTCTTTAAAATGTATTTGGTTTGAATTCAAAATATTGAGTGGTTAATTTTTTATTAGTATCGAAGTGACTGTCACACGCTACATGTCGCACGCGACAGTTTTTTCCGTCATTTTCTTAGGTGGTTTTTCTGCAACCTTAACGTCAAAAAAACCGTTTAAGAGCCACTTTAAAAAATACTACAAAATACCGAAAAAAGACTTTTTTGTCCATATAACCGGTATTACCCTGTAAAATTATCCAATTATCCAATTATCATATTACTTAGCTTAGTTGAGGATCCATCTAACTAGAATCAAATATCAGTGCAAAATCATGTAGAAATATGTTTTTTTCAAGTTTTACGCTTTTTGGCTTGGTTGACATCCCCAGAGAATTGCCCATATTAATTCTTTCCATTTTTTAACAATTTTAAAAATGATTTTTGATTTTAAATTATTATTAAGTTTTTATGGATGAACAAGTTTTAAGAACCAAATTTTGAAACTTTATTTTTTAACAAACTTGGATTTATCGCAGTTCGACTTTATTAGAATCTCCATTGAAGCAGCAGATACAACTAGGCGTATGAATAATAATTACCATAAATTACTCATCCGCCCTGTGATGACGCCAGTGGGCATGGAAAGTGAAAGCTGATAATCGAATGGCTTATCATCGCTGATAAGCAAACTACGTTTGCGAAATACACACATGCAATAATGCACAACTATTACGTAGTTTTGGCAAGTTCAGTGGCACATTTTCCGCTCCTCTCCGAGTGCTGGGCATTTTCATTTCGCCCCCATCCCATCTCTCGATTGCTCACTGCTTCTCACACTCGCTCCCGACCACTCGCCACCCACAATTGTTGACATTTGCTCCGCTCGGAATCGGAAATGCTGCTTTTCACTCTCGCATAGCCCACACCCACACACACACGGGCCGGGGAAATTGGGCGAGAAAATGAGAGAGAGAAATGTGTGTGGGCCAGGAGCGAGAGCCGGCAGATGCTTCAGTACAAATAAGAATCAAAGTTACACGCAGACAGAGACACAACAGCGTTCGGGCGGCAAATAGATGATGGCCAAAAGCTAAACACACATTTTCAGGCATTTTCCGATGCTTCCGACGCCGACGCAGCCGATTTGCCGCTGTTTTCATGATTTTTTCACCGATGGCCCGAGTTTCCCATTTTCATTTTCAATTTTACCGCTCGCGCCAGTAGCGTTTCGACGGCTCAACGGCTCGTCTCGCAACTTTTGGCAAAAATAAATCGGGAATAAAAAACACAACACCGAAATAGCTGAACCGCGCGCGTCAGGCCAAAACAAATTAATCAAACTCATTTTCAAAATCAAAAATAATTATTAAAATTAAGCAAAAACCCAAATAACTGCGTGAAAAATGATCGAGAGTTTTTTGGCAAACATTAGATGCCAAAGAAAATAAAAGCAAAGAAAATTAAATAAATAAATTGCCGATGGCAAAGTGAAAATATATTGGGCATCTTTTTGGTCAACATTTTTGAAATCTATTTAAATGTGTATTTTTGAGGGTCAATTTGAATAAAAAGAAATACATATATTTAGAAATTCTTATTCTGAGTGTCTTATTGTGATTATTAAAATCTGAGTGTTTATCTACTGTAGTGTATATTAACTGTAAACATTTTTATGAATGTTTTTTGGTGTCATGTTTACATAAATGTAATTAAATTAAGGTGAAACTAAAATTTACAAAAAAGGGAAAATATATTGAAAGAAAAGGTAAAAAAAAGAAGTTTAATTTTGCTCTACTAACATAAGTTGTTATTTTAAATTTTCCTTCAACTAATAAAAATATTTATTCTTTCATTTTAGCTTTTGCGCAAAACTTCAATCAAATTAATATACAATCAAAGTAAATTGGCAAAGACTGATTTGTTCTTTTTGAGAAATAAATACAGTGAAAATCAATCAAGCAAACCCCAGCAAAAAAACGCGAACAAAGTACAACAAAATGTGTCAATTAAATTTAAATTAACCAAAAAGTGATCAATCACCAAACAAATGGAGTCTCGGTTAATACGTTTGTGTTTCAATTTTTTGTTTTCCAAATATTTTGTTTTATTTTCGAACCGCTCAACGTGCAACGCGCTAAACCACAAAAATGTTGCTGACAATGCGGCGTCAAAATGAACTGATTGTAGGTAGCCAGCAACAGCATTCGTCAACCACTCCACCATCGTCAGCTGCAGTTGTGGCATCCACAAGCCCACCTGGATTACCTGGACAAAATCTCAGTTTGGTGCCACTGGCAACGGCAACATCGTCACAGGACTCGCTAAATACACCCACAACACCGTTGCTGTCTCTCAGTCGGAATCCCCTGCAATTCGCACCACCACCTGCACCACCCATTGCGGTGCCAAGTGCTCCAGCTTCCGGACCCGCTTTCGGCTATTATCAGAGTGCTGCACCGCCAACATCCCTGCATCATCCTCAGTCAACCACTGATGCAACCACAGCTCAGCAGCAGCAACAACAACAACCTTCTGTGGAATTGGATGAATATGTAGACATATTGCAGGTTCAACAATTGCTTTTGGATTCTTCGGCAGCAGCAGCAGCGGCAGCAAATAATCCCTCAGCAGCTGAACAATCCATTCAACAAAATACGGCGGTGCCACCGCAACAGCAGCAGCAGCAGCAACAGCAAATTCTTGCCAAGCCGCGACCGCGAATTAATCTGCAAAAGGCCACCGAATATGCAGCTCAATTAGCTCAGGGTAAGGACCCAGAAAATCCCACCCACCCATATATAACCCTTCAGCCATCATTACTCGAATATAATTTGACCCCTCCCCCAGCCGAGTCCTCATCGCCCGGCTCGCGTCGTGTTCTGCTCGATTACCCGAGTCCCTATTTGTACGGCAATCCCTATCACCACCATACGCCGCCCAGCGAGGACCTAGTTGCCCTCTGGTTCGGCAGCAATGGCACAGGTGAGTCATCACCTCATTTGGTTAGAAAACCGTAGATATCAATGTACCAAATCGATCAGCAATATGGGTATTTATTTAGATAAATTTTAGGTTTACCCTTGATGATATTGTTCTCCAATAATAAAAAATCTTAAATCATCATTCTTAAAATTTAATTAAAACAGATAGTTAAATCTGTATAACCACTCAAATATATTTTTATTTTTTATAGGGTTATAGTTTCTTCTTTCACTTAAATTTTAAAAATTAGCTTTATTTATAATATCTCAGCCTTTCCAATAAAAATAGGAAATTGTGAGAAATTATTTAAAAAACTTTTGAAATAAAATAGAAGTAAATATTTAATGTGAGATCAATTATACATTTTTCATTCGGTATATTAACAACTTAAATTTTGTCCTAAAGTTAAATAAAAGTATTTATGTACTACTTCATCCATAAAAATATTTAGCTATCAAAAAATGCAATTAAATTGTACATTCAATAGAAAAACTTCCCTCCATGTTCGGTGTCAATCAACTACTTAAGCTATTGCATTTAACTGAAATACCTTTAATGGTTAAAAATGTACCAAATACCCCAATACCAATCAATAACTCACGCCGGACGGCTCATTTTCCCAGGGTATCGTGACATTTCTGTTAGTCTGTCGCCAGCATGGGAGTCAAATTGGCGATCGAGAGTCCTACTCCTTCCCCTTGCTCCCCGCTCATTACATAACTCACGGTCTGCGCACTCCATGTTGCAAATATGTCCATGATGCAGTTACTCAAAAACTATCTCGCCGGCTATAAATTGCCAAAATTAATCTGTGAATGAGCTGACAGCGAAACTCCTGCGCCCCTCTCTAATGGCTCAATAAATAAAATGGAAATAAAATGAGATTTTCGCGCACTTTAATGCCGTTCGCTGGCAAATTTTCGCTGGCGCCTTGGCGCCCGCCGTCTACTTGAGTTTGAGTTTCGTCGGCCGACCGACCAGTCGCTCTTTTGAAACACTGCCAAAAGGCTGAAATTGAAATTTCAGCTGCAAATGATGCAGTGCGTCGTCCGGAGACTCGAAGACTTTTCACTCCGGCTGCGCCCTTTCAACAGGTGGTTGAACAGCACATGCACCGCTGTTCTCTGTTTTTGGGCTGCCATCGCACGTCTCATCGATTACTCGCCTCGATTTCGACGTGAGTGCGGTTGGACTTTAGGTTTTTTCTGCTTTTCGCTCGCCGGCTTGCCAAAATTAAGTCAGCGCGCCAAGACCACCCAAAGTGTGTCAATGTTGGCGCTGCAGCGCTGGGAAGCGCGCCACAGTGCGTACAAATTAAATTATATGTCTTGTGGCTGCGATCGAGGCCTAACGGTGCTATTTCCGCTTCGAATTCAATTAAAATTTTGGCTTCGAATCGGTTAAATGTCAACCATGAAGCGGAAGGGATTTATTAAATCAGTTTTTGAGTAAAGAGAATCTTCAGATGAGAATTCATTCCAATATTATTTAATACATTCCCTTTTAGAAAGAAAGAAATGCATTAATTTGTGAAAAAAAGAGGAAATTACCAATAATTTTCATTTTTATCATTATAAAAACAAATTTATAAAATCTGTGGATATTCTGGTTAAAGTAAATCGAAACTATTTTCCTTACGAATTTGTTTTCATTTCAATTAAAATTATTTAACTGTTTTTAATATCCTTTAAAATCCAATGAATTAAATTTATTAAGATGTATTTCTCAAGATTAAAATTAAACAATATCTTTTTCTAAATTAGTTTTAAGCATTCTCAAAATGTTCGACTATAATTCCGACTTAATACTATTTAAATCTTGGCATTTACAACGATTTTCGAAACGTGTTCTGCTTCAGTGATTGCCAACGACCAAAGTTCTTATGCAAAGCTAGATCGCTCGCAATGCCGTTCTCCAGGGATCCAATGCCATTTATGGCAAATTAAAGACAAGCCCAACGCAGTTCTCGTATTTCCCCAGATAAAGACACGCCACACAAATTGTCTTAATTAATTAATATCATAAATATGCGACGGCGCTTAATTGCCGATGGAGAGCAAAAAAAATGAGAGAAACAATAGCAGAAGGCAAAAGAAAAACAAATCTCTCATGGCAACTAATTAGTCAGGAAATGACCCCGGCTGACCGGGGGCATTCGGCATTCAGCATTCAAGCTGGCTGAGTGACCCTAATCGACAGGAAGCTGACTCAATCTGGGAGCGAATTGCAGGCCCATGGCCAAATGCAGCTGCCACTTTTTGCGATCGCGACAGACTTTGGCTGCCGCTGCACTTCACTTGCAATCAATATTCATAAATCTCTTGGCAAGGGTTAACCAATTAATAACGTGACCCGTTTATTTTATTTCACTTCGCTTTTCGCCTCCTTTTGTCAAATCAACCTGGGTGATCGTTCCACGTTTTCCAATGAAAATCGCAGACAGACTCGCACACAAAGCCTTTCAGCATTTGTCAACGAGAGGCGACGTTGACACCGCCGACAACAAACACGAACGAATGAAAGCCAACAGCCAAGAAAACTGCAAGAAAATTAAGGCAACCATCCGGGCTCAATGCGCACATGGCACACTGGTTATATTCTAAGTATTCTGGAATTCTTTAGAAGAAACGTTGAAATAAGAACTCTAAATAGCCAGAAGATAACAAATGGTTTTAGGGGCTTTCATGGCACTTTGATCTAGGATCTATATTGTACCAAAATTTAATCGAAAAATATATAATTCTCAAGTAAAAGAAATTTATTCCTATCTGGATACTATCGAAGTATACTCTTCTGTGATTCATTCTAAGCTGTGACCTTACGCTACCAACTAAACAAAATATTTAAATTTGGTGGCTGATGAGAAAGAGTGGCTCTCTATCAAAACATATCATATTATTTTGTTATATTGCCTTTTGAACACGATTTATAAAATGGAAAATGCCGTTCGAGGATCGATTAATTCTTAACGAGCTTTTCTTACCAATCCTATAACCACTGTGATGCTGCGGCAGCACAACCTTTGTTACCCTGTGCCGAACGGAAATCGTTGACATGGACCACACCACAGCAGTCAGCTCTCAAACCGAACCAAACCGAGCCGAAGCGAGGCAAGAAAACCAAGCCAAGCACAAACACAATCTCCAGAAGCTTGGCACTCAGCGAGGCTTGCCTAATGTTTAATTAAGGTGATTGCTGTGCGGTCACCTGGCGATGTTGCTGCTGCTGCTGCCGCTGCTGCAGCAATTGGTGTTGCTGTTGCGGTTTTGGCGAACGACAACAACACCTCACGATCGCCAAATTGGTTTGTAAGGATAAGCCGTCCAGCCTTTGGGTGAGGGATAGGGAAAAGCAAAAGACCTGTGTCAAATGCCTGGGCCAAAGGACATCTCCAAAGAAACGGGCAGCAGCAGCAACAGCAGCAGAATTTGCAGCCGTGGCCTTAATGAAGATTAATTGCAATCAGCGAGCCACTTGAGACGCGATTAATTGCAGGAACCACTGGACATGGGGAAATGGAACCGAACTTCCTCCTAGACTGGCAGACTTGATGATGATGATGCCTTTTGGAATGGTTCACAAGTTCACGACTGCGACGACGGCAACTTAATTGCCATTTACATGGGAGGCAAGATTGTGATTGCTCCCGGCCAGGCTTTGTTGGTGGCACAATGCAGCTGATGGATTGCATTTGCATTTGCATTTCCCTTAGCATTTGCATAATGGTTTGATGCCTTTGGAGATTCGTCACAGCGACTAGCATAATCGACTTGAACTGGTCCAAATCAAAAAAGTTGCGTTAAGTCTGCCATTAGCATAATGCCAAGTGTGTGGGTCGAAAAAGTGTGCCACAAATGGCTTCGTATAGGTCAACTTGATTATTATTTTTTTATTTTATATTTTTTGCATTGTCACCTGCGGTCTGGAAGTTGGCGCCAAGTCTGCGCCGCTGGCCAAATCAAATCAAATGAAATCGATTTGGAACTCTAAAACGTATATATCGAAAGCCACAGCATGTGGGCTGATTTTTGGTTTTTGTGGTTTGCATTCGAGTTAAGTTATAATTTGTGTAAACTTTTTGACAACTTTCAAGTAGGAATAAATTGCCATCACGGGTCTAAAAATATAAGCTTAACTCAGAAGCTGAAAGGCAAGCGTAGAACGTGGGATTTATTCGATCTTAAATACGGCTTAAATGGCATTAAGGGAATGAGCCAGTTGCGTTGACTGTTGTAACATGTCAATTAGGTAAATTGTAGTTTATGACGTTGGTTTTTATCTAAGAGGGGAATTTAGAATTAATTTTCATATTTAATATTTTAAATTAAATTAAAATTTTCCCTGTAAATGACACATATTTTGTAATTTATTTATTGGTTCTTTTTGCTTTATTATCCCATTTATCTTCTAATGTCATCTTTTGATCTTATGTTTAATAAATGGGAAACTCATTTACGAGATCCTAATCCATCGCTATCGGTTAAGTGGACTTCTTGATCTTTATAGAATTAACGCCCAACCTGTCGACGGCATGTGGAGGAACTCGGTGGCAACCCACGCACTTTAGACTAAAAAAAAACCCTCAACAAACCCAAATCAAAAACCACAATCATTTAAATATAGCGAAATCAAACGAGAAAAAAACTATAAGCAGAGTTCAGTTGAAATTGGTTGGATTTTCGATGAAAAACCGCAAAACGCGTTTTTCATTTGCATAAAAAATTGTTGTCTGTGCCGGGGCAATCGAACATGCGGCAGACAGAAGAGTCGAGAGTCGAGAGCTGGGGACCAAGACCGCGGGACCAAGCCCCAGAGTTGATTTCATTCATGAGGCACAGCTCCATTCATAAGCCGAGCATTTCTAGTTTAAGGTAAGCCACACTGGACACCTACGATCCGATGGAGAGTTGGATACAGCAAACTGCATACGGCGATACGGCAAAAGTGCAACTGCAACTGCACATTATTTATAACATTTTGCCGTTTTGGGGTCACATGTT